CGACTGCCTCCATCGCATCGACTGTGTATGAATCGATTTTGGCCTAACCTTCTCCTTCATCAGGTACACGATTGCCCTAACCTTCTCCTTCTCATCGCTATGTTTGAATCCCTTTGACTATATCATCATTTGTCGATTCGGATTCTGAGTTCTCAATTCGTTTCATAAAAAATCAGATATTGGTTTTGTGTATTCTGTTGTATTCGTAGCTGTGTTTTGATTTCAAAGTGTTGATTGGAATTGCATTTMTGCCAAGATGAGTGAGGTAACATAAGTCAAACCCTTGATTTCACAATCTTCCTCTAGAAAACTTCCTGATTTCAAGAAATCTGTGAAGCTTAAGTATGTAAAACTGGGGTATCACTATCTTATAACCCATGGAATGTACCTTTGCTTGTCTCTTCTTGTTGTAGTTCTTGCTACTCAACTGTCAAATTTTTCGCTGCATACACCCTCCAAGATGTTTATGTTCTTTGCTGCTCAATTGCATTTCTAGCTGTTTAATCGGCTGTTTAATCGATTTCGATTTAGCAATTCAAAAATCGGCTGGATATATGATGAAGATCATATGGAAACAATACATTATGCAGTAAGATTGATTTTGGTGAAAAAACACTAAACAACTCATTGAGGGTAAATTGGTCATTTTAACCAGTTCTGTCCTTCCTGTCCTGTCTTACCAAACGCTGAACAGCTGTCCTGTCCTGTCCTGTCCTGTCCCATCCTGTCCTGTCCTGTCCTGTCCCGTCCCGTCCTGTCTACGCACCAAACGCACCCTTAGGGGCCTTGGTCCGTGGGTTTTTTTAAGATATCGTGAAGCATCTACAGTTCATTAAGGTTTTAAGTATAAAATTCTTTTGAGTCCCTTCATTATTGTTGATCCAGTCCATTTGTGTCCCGTCCCTGCTTGAAGAAAACGTGCATAACAAGTCATCATCATAATTAGCGAACATACCCATTTTAATAATTGCTATTCAAGAAAGACTTTGAAGAAATCGTGCATAACAAGTCATCACCAGAATTAGTGGACATACCCATTTTAATAATTGCTATTCAAGAAAGACTTTGAAAAAACCGTGCATAACAAGTCATCACCAGAATTAGCGGACATACCCATTTTAACAATTGCTATTCGAGAAAGACTTTGAAGAAACCGTGCATAACCAATTTACCGTTTACATATTTTTTATATTTATTATTAATTTATGTAATTTATTAAAATAAAATATTTTTTATAACAAAATATATCATATAATATTTCCGCCAGAATGATTAAAACTACACTAAAATACGAAGTTTATTAATTTATAAATTTTAATTTTACATTTTTATATTATTATTAATAATTAATAAATTAATCAAAATAGAGAAAATGTATAGAATTAATATTTTGAAGATGGTAAAATGATAGTTAACAGATATTTAAAATACATATACTGAGATATAACTTTTAGTGGGCAATGGTCGTGCCACCAAACTATCTGGTTTAACATGACGCCCTACATATAACGATACGAGTCAGTCGAAAAATACATCTTCCCTTATATGATGTCGTTCGATTGACTACGAAAAAGACTTGCTTCATGAAAGAAAAGTCTTTATCGTATTTCCCAAATAGATCCAAACAAATATTTATCATTCATTCAATTGTTTTTATAAAATTGTGAATTTTATGAATGAGGGGTATTTTCATCATTTTATTTATTTATTTTTTGGTTTTTTATCCAATCAAAATCAGTTTTATGGTTTTGATATGTGGTTTTTGAAAATAAATTAATTGGATGATTGTTGGATAATGATTTGATGGACAACTGTATGGTCATCGGATGATTAATTGGATGTCGATCAGTTCGATTTATTAGAGATGTTGTCTTAGGGATTGTTTGGGATTGCTTATAAAAACAATTTATTGACTTATTCTGGTGTGACACCGGTAATAAATACTTTTGAATGTTTGGATAAACAACTTATATCAGTAGTAAACCGATAATAAGGAGTTTTTGAAGAAATTAAACTCTTCTGACTTATAATAAGTTGATAACTGCTTTTATAGAAAATCATAAGTTATTTTAAATAAGCAATCTCAAACACCCCCTTAAGCGATTGTTTGTTTACCTTCTAATAGTTATATTAAGAGTTAACATATGAATCATTAAGAGATGGATTTTGTTTGACAAAAAAAAGTTTGCCACTTAATGATTCTAAAACCTTCTAAATGATTTTATATCATGTGTGAGCCTTAGTTTCATTGTAAATAATTACCAAACAATTATATTTCATTTGTACTATATCATAAAAATCTCTTAATAATTCTACAACAAATCATTTAACAATCGTAAAACAAAATATAATACTTTGACCCTAAAACTTCAGCGTGTGATTTAATAATCAATTATTTTCATTAATGGTTATTTAATTTATTAATTGGCTTTTTTGGCTATTGAGAATGGCCCACCAAACGACCCACAATGCTTTATATAATCCTTTTCACAAGACCAGAAGGGTATTTACATAATATAGCAAGATACATCTTGATTTTAATATTTTATTTTATTTATTTTTGTCTCAGTCGATGTTATAATATTGTTTTACATGGTTTTAAGAATGTGATAATATTTTTATTTTTGAATAAAATATAAATATGAAAATATTATAAAAATTCAAAAAAATATATATTGATATTAATACCAAACTAACTATTAATTGAACTGAATATAAAAATATTATTTGGTTTTAGATAATATAATGGGTCCATGTGGAGGATTGTGTGAGAATAAGAGTTAAACTGAGAAGTATAAGAATGAATTTGAATCCTTGATTACTTTTAATCCCAAAATAACATATGAGTTGCACTTTAGAAGGGAATTGATGTAGTGTCTCTTCAATCAAGATTGATCAAAGCAGTGGCGGATCCAGAAATCTTGGTACTGGGGGTCGGAATTTAAGTAATGGCCACGTGTCCACGTGGTTGACAATGTCTTTTACTTAAATAGTTTCGTTATATTTATCCCTTTGATTAGGTTGATATTCCATAAAAAAATTCTTTCCCATGGAGCGAAGGAAAAAATCAATCAAATTAACAATTATACATCAACTAATAAACCCTAACGTTATGTGAACACAATATATACATTGTGATACCTAAAAAGATATTGTTATACAAACGATATTCATTGTGATAACCATATATACATACTTTTGAAACTGATATCAAAAAGTCGACTTCCGTTGGAAATGCACCACTAATTTCCGACGGCCATTTTCCGCCAGAAAGCCGAGAATCCGCCATCTGCCAAAAAAAAGATCACGTGCACCTCATTTTTCAGCGGCCAAATCTGCGAGAACCCTATTTTTCGGAGAATTTCCGGCTGATTTAGCCGTCGGAAAAGGTGAGCAGTTTGGTAGTATCTCATTTTGCATGAAAGTCCAAAAACTTGGTTATTTTGCAACGGGTTTTTTTATCTTTTCTAAAATGACTATTAGCATTAACCTTAATTTAAACGGTTGATGATCAGTTTAAACCCAAACTAACCTATATAACTCGTTACGTACTCTACATGTAATTGTGTGATTCACTCGCTAATGACTTCATACCTAAATTTGGTCTTGTGATTAACTTTAAGAAAGACTTGCTAATACCATATATTATTAAACACTACGGCATTTCGTGGATGGATTAAACAACTGCCGTTCATTTTATTTATTCGGAATTTAACAGGTTACTTTTCTTACATCATCAACAAAAGATATAAGATTTATATAAAATCCAGATGTTTCTTAAACAGATTCCCACAAAACATTCAAATAAATAAAATGAACGAGATAATATTCAAATTGAGAAAAAAAGTAGAAAATCACGACCACGTGATTTGGCCTTTACAACGTTGACTTGTAATTGACATATTTTGGGAGTCTTTCTTGAAATTAAGCACGCGCCAATACATATGGGATTAAGTTACCATAACTAAACATCGAACTTATTTGGTAAAAAAACTTATATTACTCAACCGTAGAAAATAACACTGATCAAGTGTACGAATACATATACAGGTTATGTTTGCGAACTAGCTATTTTGCTAATAAGTTAGAAATTAACTGATAAAACAGTCATGTTTAGTAGAAGCTAGCTGATAAGTATATTTCATCAATTGAATACTTTTATTGAATATACATTGGATATTCAATGAATGATCTATTGGGACTAGATCCATCCAGTGTGTTGCTTCAATCAAATTCTCCAACAATAATACAAATTGATTAATCTATACTATATTATAAAGCATTTGATAAAAACTCTTAACAACCATTTTTTATGCATGAAGTATTGTTTATTGATGTATATTACTTAAAATTCAAGATTACAAGTAAATTGTGCGTAAGTACAACTTATTAAAGCTTTATGTTTGAATTCGTGTAACTAACCGCAGATAAACATAATCAAATAAATGATAAACATCTCATTTTAAAAATAAAAAAAAAATCTAAAATATAATTAGGATAATCATTGACTTCTAACAAAATAATTAATTATTATCTTTATAACAAGTCAAATTAGTAAACCAAAAATAAAAAAATGAATTAAAAAAATACACAAAAAAAAAAAAAAATTTAAATAGTTAGTTTGATACTAATATCAATATTTCTTTTACAGTTTTTATAATATATCTTCATATTTATATTTTATTCAAAAAAATCATCACTTTTTTAAAACCACATAAAACCGTATTATAACACCGTCTGAGACAAAAAAAAAAACATTAAAATCGATATGTATCTCACTGCATTGTACGAATACACTTTTAGTTATTACTAAAAGTTATAAAACAAATACTTAAAACATGTAATATATTTTAAAAACCATTATTTTATTTCATATTTATTACACAAATGCATATCATCATAATAATATGTTCAACATACATATATACATAAATACGTATGTATGTGCTACGTACGCTCATACATGCATGCATGAATGTATAATACTAATAGCAACATAATTATTTAAGTTTATAGAGAGTTTTAATGCCGTTGATGTCATCTGCATGCAAACGTCTTATAACTCCGTAATTGATACTAGGGAACATTGAGGCATTCGGATTGTCACTATGATCCAACCCAAATAGATGTCCTATTTCGTGAACAGTCACCGACTCTAAATCAATAGTCCCAGCAGTTGGTCCTGGTCCATCTGACCAATTCTCTTCTATATCGTAATGGAGCCTTCCATCTGTTGGCGGAAAAGCATGTGCCAATACAATACCAGGCCCATCAAAATCAGTATCTCCATGCTTTCTTCTTTCAAAACTAACCTTTAAATCGGCACGCTTAAAGTCAGCGATTTTAGAGAATGTGAAGTAATGAGTTGCAGTAGCCCATTGTTTGAAGGCACGGTCAACAGGAGGTGCGTGTTTGTTTGGAAAGTTTGAGGGGAACGCGTAAGTGAAGTGTGATTTACCAGGGGGCCATCTAAGGAGAGTTGGGGAAAGTTTGAAATGAGGAACTATGTGGGGTGATTTCGATCCATGGATATAAGTACTTTTATCTGGTAGTCCACAACGAGGTATGAGCATTTGTGAAACCGTGGGCCCATCTAATGTCCCAGTGGAATTGAGATGGTTATATTTTTGGTAAGTTTTCAGGGCGGCCTCGAGTTTGTCATCAAATTTGTCGTCTTTGGCACTGACGTGGTCAAGGGTAATTTGGTAATCTAGGTAGCCGAAACGAGCGAGATATAGTTTGAGCTGATGGAGGCCTTGCGCTTCGCTACCTACTTCACAACAAGTTTCAAGTTGTTTGATGGACTCAATGGAGGATAATTTTGCATGGTTACCAAAATGACCTTTGGTTTGAGAGAAGAAAAGGAGGAAGAACACGATCGACAAATGAGGTAAAGTAGTCATTTTAAAACGTCCTTTACCAAATATATTTCAGTGATTTTGGTTAAATGCTTCAAGTTATTGGCTCTATTTATAGAGATCAGGCTAAGCTAGCAAATTGACTAAAATGCCCTTCTCCAATCCAATGATGTTCTTACGTTTGCAATAGCCGCATATTTGAATTTGAATATTAAATTTATAATTTATACAAATAGGGACACATTTTATAAGTTGTTAGGGGCTGTTTGATAGTTGTTGAATGGTTTGGTGCTGAATGGTTTGGTGCTGAATGATTAAGTGGTCGGAAAGATTAAGAGTCTCTTATGGTATAGTGCAGAATAAAATATAATTGTTTGGTAATTGTTTACAATGAAATTAGGGCACTGAATAGTTAAGTGAGACCATGGATACAAAATCAGTCAGAGAGTTTTAAAACCATTAAGAGGCAGATTTTTTTTTTGCAAACAAGATTCATCTCTTAACGATTCAGAAGCCGCCTCTTAATGGATCTATTAAGAGGTAAACAAACAACCCCTTACTCTTTTGCAAATTGTATTTTTGGGGCTAAAATTATACTAATCTTGACTATTTTTTATTTTTATATAATATAAACTCAATGATGACAACTAAACACAAGGATTGTGTTTGTTGTGGTACTTAACCCAACACCTTACGGCACGAGCTGATGACAGCCAAAGGAGCTTGACTGCAAGACCCACCCATCGAACAGGGTCGAAAGTCGAATAAATCTGTTCTTCCACATGTCCAAATCAGAGGAAGTGAAAACCTTTTTTCTGTTTTTCTTCTTTGTCATTTTTATTTTTATTATATTTTTATTTTTATACCGGAATCAAACAACCTTAAAATGAAATTGAATGGAAAAATTGGTGGTAAAATTTACATTGGAAATCCCATTTGTCATCTCCAATCTCTTTATCACCATTTAGATATTGTCAAAGTAAACACATTTTTTTCTTATTCCTTTAAAATACCAAACATACATACATATATATATATATATATATACACACACACACATACATAGGGTTGGGTTCACGTGAGATCAAGGGTTTTTCGTGAGACTCGTAAGACCAATTTATGTTCATTGATCAACTTTATAAGCTAATGATCTAATGGTGTAAAGTTGTACGGTGACAATTTTGTAATTATTGAGAAGTCTTGTGACAATCTTGTGATTATGAATGTTCAGATTGTAGATCTAATCTAAAGGTTGAGAATTGGTCTTACGGGTCTCACGAAAAACTTTTGGTCTCATATTAACCCAAGTCCACACACATATACATATATATATATATATATATATATATACTTTATTTTAGAAATTTAAGAAAAATGTTTTGATACAGCTATGCCAAACTCTCCAGTTAAATAGATAGAGAAAAAAGAGAATGAAGAAATTTGTATATTTAAAAGAATAAAGATAAAAATATAATATTCATGTTGGAGAAGTTCTAAGGGGCCGTTTACCAAATGCTTACCTGGGTAAGCACTTACCAAGTCACATTACCCTACCGGATGAATATGACAATGACAAAGAATCTTACTCGGTAAGAGCGAAGGCAATGACCGAGAGTCTTATCCGGTAAGTGATGGTGACGATTCTTACCAGAGTTAGCGCTTATCAGGTAAATTATTACATACAATATCGTTTTGGTAGACTCAAATTTTACCCGATAAGTAAACGATAGTGTTGATTTTTATCGCTAAACGCTTACCGGGTAAGTATTTATATACTAAATAGCTAGCAAAGAACAAAGACGCTTATAAAATAAGGAGTTTGTAAGAAAATAGTTTTTTTTTCGTATTTTTCTTCTTTAATAAAGAAATCAAGATTCATATAGTTTAAGTTTAAGCCCAAGAAGACCAACTCGCAAAATTTGTGCTTGTTTTGCATAAAAAAGTCCAAAAAGTCGGTTATTTTGCAATAGAGTTTTCTCCTAAAACGACTATTTTAGTGATTAATCTTAATTTAAATGGTTGATGATCAATTAAACCCAAATTGACTTGTATAACTCGTTACGTACTTTGCATGTAATTATGTGATTCACTCGTTAATGACTTGATACCTAAATTTGGCCGTGTGAGAGAAACGTGCTAACACCATGAACTATAAAAACACAACCGCATTTCGTGGGTGGATTAAACGTCTGCCATTCATCTTATTTATTCATAATTTTACTTGTTACTTTTTTTTTCCTTAAATCATCAACAAAAGATATAAGATTTATATAAAAATATTCAAATAAATAAAATAAGCCAGAAATATTCAATTGAAAAGAAAATACAAAATCACGACCGTCTTATTTAGTATTTTATAACATCGACATTTAGAGGTTGTTCGTTTACCTCTAAAATAGTTTCATTAAGAGGCAACCTCTGAACTGTTAAGAAGTGAATCTTGTTTGACAAAAAAAGTTTGTCTTTTAATATTTTTAAAACTCTCTGAATAATTTTGTATCATGGACCATCCTTAACCATTCAACGTCCTAATTTCATTGTAAACAATTACTGAACAATTATATTTTATTTTGCACTATATCATGAGAGTCTCTTAATCATTCTGACCACTTAATTATTTTGCACCAAACCATTCAACAACTGTCAAACTGTTTTGGTATGATGCATACCCATAAAAAGACCTATTAACCACAAGGGTGATGTCCGATTGTTTTGGCTTAGACTTCAAAGCTTAAAAGTGTCTAGAGATCCCATATTCGAATCCAAAAAGGAATAAAAATCTTCTTGTGACCACAGAGGTTCAAATACAATCGTTCAAAGATTAACCAGTTTACATAACGAGTTAGACATTCAGGTTAATAAAAAAAAACTATTAAGTTTTCCAATATCGCGGAAGGAAAAAAAAAAGATGACGTCACAATTGACGTAAGTTCGGTGGAGTAGTGTTGACGGCCATGTCATATTTATCAACTAGCATTTATTCATTTATATTATACTTTCAAATTATATATTTTTTTTTATTAACCTGAATATCCAACCTGTTATGTGAGTCGATTAGTCTTAGAATGTCTATCCGTTTTATGGGTAACCTAGAGTTACTGTATTTGAACTTCCTTGATTATAAGGGGATTTTTATTTCTCCTTGGATTTAAACCTGAGACCTCAACGCATTTCTGATCTTAGGATCTCAAGTTCAAACCAATCAGACATCACCCTTATGGTTTAAGTTATGTATTATTAATAGTAATTTGAAATACATATTTATGAAAGTGTACGATGAATACATATACATGTTATGTTTGTGAACTAGATATTCCCTGATAACATATAAATTAACAGATAAATTAGTTGTATTTAGTAAAAGCTGTTAGATGGCAATATAAAATGACATAAAAAAATTACTCGAGAATAACATAAAGGACATAGTTGAAAAGGTGAAAAAAAATCCGTTGGAACTTGTTGGAAAACCAATTTGGAGAAAATTGGTAAGCGTTTACCAAAGTTTGTACAAACAAAAAACTCGACAAGAGTTAACATGTAAAATGACCAATTTAACCCTACTGAGTTGTTGATATATTTTGATTAATTTATGTAATTTAGTAAGTTATAATAAAATAATTTATTAAATTTTCATCCAGACGATTAAAATAATACTAAAATAAAAAGTTCATGTAGTTTTCAATTTTTTATACCTTTTTCTATGTTACTTTCTTATTATTAGTATTTAATAAATTACACAAATGAATCAAAATATAGAAACCGTATAAAAATAATGTTTTGAGGACCATAAGTTGAAAGTTTAAATAACATAAAATACAATAAATAAAATTTAAAGAATAGATAAAATGTTAAGAGGGAGGCGTATTTGATGTTTTAGAAGAAAATTATGTTTTATTTTTTAAGGGTATATTGGTAAATATATGTGTGTTCCACATTGTTCCATAGGGTGGGGCAGTGGCAGATCCAGATTTTTGTTTTGTATGAGGCACAATATAAGATACTCTGAATTCATTTTCCTGTCTGCTGGATCCCAAGAAAGCTCATTTAAATTAATTTCACTAGGGACTGAAGGAGCAGAACTAGATTCAGATGTTGATACTTTTCTTTAAAAAAAATTCCATTTTTCTAGCAATATCAGTAGCAAAATAAAAATCAATATATCAAATATCAATAACATATTAACATATCAATATCCAATAATCAATCATCCATAAAACATAAACTAAGGCCTAAGAAGACAACAAAATCATATTCACTTATAAGTTACAAATCAGAAATCAAAATTAAAAATTAAAAGTAAGAAGTGTTTCAGGTTTTACCTAAAAACCAAGAATCAAGATGAGCCAGATAACTGCAAGGGTGGTGTCTGATTGGTTTAAGCTTGACTCCAATTGTCAAAAGTGCCTGGAGGTCCCATGTTCAAATCCAATGAGAAATAAAGATCCCTTGTGGCCACAGAGGTTCAAATGCGGTGACTCCGGTCTAGTGTAAAGTAGGTGGTTGTCCTGGTATTAGTCGGATCACATGGTGGGTTGGATATCTAGGATAATAATAATAAGATAGAGCCAGACGCGTTTTAGCCTTTGAGTTTCAAAGTAGATTTCATAATCGATTTTAGGTCGGGACTTAACGTAAGCAGGACACCAGCCAATATCGATTTCAGAATTGCTCTCATTCTTGTTCTCGTTTGGACAACAACGGATCAGCCTACCCCAAAAGACCATGAGATTGTGTTCGTTTGAAGAGTGGAGTTGTGGACTGTGTACTAGACATCAGATTAAAGAACAACAAACTAAAAGACTCGGAGGCCCTTAACATCTGTTAGGGGCCCAATAGAAAAACTTGTTTAAAAAAAAAATAGTTTTCACTGGCTATATTAGTTGGGGGCCGTGACCCCTACATCTAAACCTTCTGTTCGCCCTTGGGTGGGGGTTAAAGACATCTGTTCCACTCTTTTTCTATTGGTTCCATATAAAAGTCTTGTCAAATATAAAACAATGATCCTTGCTATATTTTGTAAAATCTTTGTTCAGTGTACCAAATGTACCCTAAGTAAGATCCCAAGTGTCTAGGACTCATTAACAATCCATGTTGATATTTCCCCTCAAATTAAAACTATAGGGACCGAAATTGTATTTTTAAATATCAAGGGACGGTTTTTGTAATTTTCTCTCAATTAGAAAATCAAAGAAAGAGTTGCTCTCCGTAAAATGTCTTCCGATAATCAGAACGAGTGGTGCTGCTTGCTCACACCCTCAAAAGATCTTCAAATATATACATACACACAGATGTATATATAGGTTTTCGAGGATGCTGTACGGTTTTTTCGTTTCTGCATCCATTGGAGGTACTTCTCTGAATTAATCGAAATTGGAGATGGCGACCACGATGACATCTCTGCCGGCGACGTCCTCTTACTCCGTCGGCTTTGGGATTCCCTCTGTCATTACTCCTCAAACGCGCTTCCATCGCCGTCGAATTGTAATTGCGAAAGGTAGTACAAATATGCTCTCTCACATGATCGATTTGTGGAATTGATTACAAGTTTAAACCCTAGAAATGTGTAGTTGATGATATGGTTATTTGTGAAGTTTTGGTGGTTTTTCTGTGTCGAAACTCATATCGAACTTGTTTTTTTTATAGTTAGATTGATGCTCGTGTTACTACTGATTTAGCCAAATCATGTCCGTATAATTGATGATACTTAAAAGTGGATAAACAGATTCGTGATAGTCGTGCTTCTGCATATTTGATGTTGATCCGATTTAAACTTCTTGTACATGAAGTTGCTTAGGTAGATTTATAAGTTCGAGCTCAAATAGTTCAATTGACGCGGATGCTATTGTTGGGATAGATACACACCATGTCAAATTCTCAATCACAATAAATGAAAAAAGGAATAGATATCTATGACTATGTAGTTCACCTACATCAACGGGTTTGAGTCTCTAGGCTTTAGTTGTTCTCTTTCAAGAATTGCAGTAAGTACGATTCATGGGCTATTTTTGGCAAACTAGCTGATAAGTTGGTTGTTGGTTGATAAGGTTGCTGTTAGCCGATAAACTGTATGTTCGGTAAAAACTAGCTGATGAGTTGACTGTTGGCTGATAAGGTAGTTGTAAGTCAATAAACTATACGTTTAGTGAAAACTAGCTAATAAGTTGCATGACAATATACAATGACTTGAAAGGAAAATATGAGGGACATTTATGTAAAATATAAGGGGCATAATTGGAAAAAAAACACCGTAAACTATCTGAAGTAGCTTTTAAAAAAGCTAGCCTAGTTTATGGCGTACTCAAAAAATAAGTTAACTTATAAGCTAGTTTATGGTTGCCAAACATAGCCTAAGTAAGAAGTAACCTCTTTAAAGAAAAAAAATTCAGTCCGAAAAGAGGATGATGCCAAAAGGCTATCATCCTGATTACTGGATAATAACTATTAACTGCCTGAATTGGCTGGTTCTATCTTGAATTGGGATCCATATTCAACATTACGATTTGTTTGCTAGATTATAGGTCCTTATTTTTATGCCTTCTTGTATAAGGAGAGCCTGCTAAACATTATTACCCTAATCATGTTTCTTTTAGTTTAATCTATGCGGCATTAGATTCGCAGAGCAGCTCTCTCCCCAGACCAGAGCATAGTGTGGAATCTGGGAACCCTATTATCTTTTCTAAGCATGATTGATTGTAACAAAACTATCAATTTGCTCATTCATGTTGTCCATTCTGCCAATCTGTTTCATACCCGGATTTCGTTGGGAGTATACCTGTGAAATAGTTGCTCTAAGTGTTCTAGAAAATAGTGCTAATAATCAGGAGGTAAGATAAACATCAAGGGGCTGTTTGGTTGGTTTTACATTAAGTCCTGAATAAATAAAACCTGTCTGTATAGATTGAGAACTTTTTGTTTGGGAGGGTTTTCTTCATAGATGGAAGGAGCGTGTATTTTAATTGGGAGGGGCTGGTTTGAAAAACTTGGCATTCTGCTTAAAGCTCCCCCTAGAAGCTTAATGAATGAGCCACTTTCTATATCATTAAGTCACTACCAAATAGTCATGTATAGCTGACCGAATAAGCTGTGAGTCCCATTAAGCCTATTAAGCTGCTAACGAGCAGACCCTAAGTCACTACCAAAAAGTCATGTTTAGCTGACCGAATGAGCTGCAAGTCCCATTAAGCTGTTAACAAACATGCCTAAGTCGATCTCCGATTATTATACATGTTTATCATTTGTATGAACTATGTAGGTTGCATTTTCGAAATGCTAACTAGGAAGTATTATTGGTAGCATCTTTTGTATTGCTGGTTGTTAAGTTCTGTGTTTGTTTATTTCAGCCGAGCCCTCAGATAAGTCTGTTGAGATTATGCGTAAATTCTCAGAGCAGTACGCCCGTAAATCTGACACGTTTTTTTGCGTCGACAAAGGTGTTACTTCTGTAGTTATCAAGGTATATCTCCTTTATGTATGGATTCATAACTAATAACTTATATGAGCCAACGATATACCTCTCTCGATACCATTTGGTAGTTGTTTTGATTTATATGCAACTGGAACACACGCTTTACATATTTTTTAATTGCTAATAGATTAACCATTTTCTTTATTTTCCAATCACCTGATAAAAGAAAAATCTTCTTGTTTCTTCAACAATTTCTGATCTCTAGTGGACCTCTCAGTAGGATTAGCCTTACAAAAAAGAACGAGCAGATCTTGTAGGATTCCCAAAAAATTCTTCGATTTCTTCTGGAAGCAGATGATTAATCATTTGCTTCTCACGTTCCGTGAATAGCCGGGACATTGAGGAATATCCAGAAAAGGCATTCCGGGAATCGGTTTGATCCAATCTCCGTTCCCTCCGTTTGAAGAAAGGAAGGATCCCAAAGGATAGATCTTTCTTTAATTGTTGAATATCTCTTTGATTGATTAATGTGTTATATTTTGGATCCTCATTACTAATGGAATCAAAATGATATCTGGATTGAATAGGTGGTTCATGTGTTCCTAAAATATTTAAGGTTCCGAAACGAGCCCTCCTCGTATCACTTATTCTTTCATCATTTTTAGCGTCTTGTTTTAACGTACCTTAAGTAATTTACAGACATGCTTAAACATGCCCCGTTAAACCAAACCAAACCAAACTGAACAATTTTCAGTATATCTCACTCAAAGACAGAGTTGGGGGTGTTAGGATTTATGCAGACCTTTCTTCTATCTCAAAGAGTATAAAGGTAGTTTCCATGAAGACCCTCGACTTGCAAAAAGTTGTGGTAATATCTCCTAGGTATCTCAAAAAGGGTTGCAAAAAGTTTCCATGAAGACCCTCAACATGCATGCTTGATAGACCCCCCCCCCCCCGGGGGATACTGGTCCCACAACCATCATGGGGAAGTAAATGGCGTATCCCAGGAGCAGATGGATGGTGCCTAGAGGCGAACCCTATACCTCTCGCTCATTCTACATGGCTCTTTAATATTGATACACAACTTTTTTTTTAAATACGACTTGAGGGGTATATCCTTGATCTTTAGGTCTTATTCAATGTTGTTCGGATGTCGTCTTGTTGTCTACAGAGTCATTATCGGTATCTAACATCAAAGCAATTACTTTGGTAACACAGGGGTTGGCGGATCATAGAGATTCATTGGGTGCACCGCTTTGTCCTTGTAGGCAAGTGTTTTGACCTTGCTCGTTCACCCCAGAAGACTTTGTTGCTTTCGTCTTTAGGTCAAAATAAACTAAGTTACAGAATTTCCTATTTCATGTAATAAAGTTACAAATTTTCTTATTTTTTACACATTTTGACAGATGGCGTGTTGATCTTGTAATATTTTTTGACGTGGATGTCAAGTTTATCGTCCACTTCTTTGTAATCCTTTGCAAACGAGTGTCCACTTTATCAGCTGTCAAAATGGGTACAAAATAGAAAATTTTAAAATTTTGTTAAATCGAGTAAGAAGAAAGTTATTCGTTACAGTAAATAGGAACTAAATCAAACTTTCTTTGTTCGTTATAGTATTATATATCATATGATTTGCTATTTTGCTTGGATACAGGCACTATGATGACAAAGCTGCAGAGGCAAGTCAAGGCTTTTGGAATTGCCCTTGTGTACCCATGAGAGAAAGGTAAATTTCTTTCAGCTCGATTACATATTGCTAGCTAGGGCTGCTAATGGTTCGGTTCGGTTAGGTTATTAGGGAAAATGTGAACTTTAATACATGAGGCAGATATCTAGATACCTGAACCGAAACCGAAATAAGGCGGTTATCCATGGTTTGGTTCATGGTTACCGGAATTTTTAAGAATATCATTTGCATTATAAAAATAATACTAAAATATTTAATCCGATTACCCAACAACTACATAAAAATAATCCTAGCGCTACAAATTAAATCAGTTCACTCTTTTAAGTTTAAGTTAATAAATAAATAAATAAAGTATTATATCTAAGGAGCCGTTTACCAAAAGCTTACCTGGGTAAGCGTTTACTAAGTCACATTACCTTATCGGATTGAATATGATAAGGACTAACAATCTTACCTGATAAGAGTGAAACAAGGACCAAGAGTCTTACCTGGTAAGTGATCTAGGACGACAACTCTTACCATAGTAAACGCTTATTGGGTAAATTGTTGCATACGATGCTGTTTTGTTGGACTAAAATCTTACCCGGTAAGTAAATGGTAGTGTTAAAATTTTACCGGTAAGCGCTTACCGGGTAAATATTCGTAAACCTTCCCTAAGAGTAAATTTTGTTTTTGTCTCTGAGGTTTGTTAAAAATTCATTCCTTTGGTTTAGAAATTGCGGTTTTTATCCCTATGGTTTGTAATTCATTGCTATTTCCATGTTCATAATTTACAATTTATTGTTGTTTTGGTCCTTGTGGTTTACAATTCTTTATTGTTTTGGTCCTCCTACTTAAAAGTAGGAATTAATCCAGGGAGGAAAATAGCAATAAATTGCAAACAACAGATACAAAATAAAATAGAAATTATTAATAAACCATAGGAATTAAAATCTTAATTTACTCTATATCTAAATATCTATACTATATTATAAAGCATTTGACAAAAACTCTTCAAAACATTTTTTTATGCATAAAATACTGTTTATTAATACATATTACTTAAAATTTAAGATTACAAGTAAATTGTACATGAGTACAACTTATTAAAGCTCTATGTTTGAATTCATGTAATTAACTGTGGATAAACATAATCAAATAGAGGATAAACATCTCATTTTAAAATATGAAAAATCTAAAATATAATTAGGATAATTATTGAGTTTTAACAGAATATTTAATTATTATCTTTATAAAAAAATTATTAAACCTAAATTAAGTTAATTCGTTACGTTAAATTAAATTATAATAAAAATTTTGAATTAAAAAAATAAACAAACAAGAACTTTTAATTAGATACGTTGATACTAATATCGATATATTTTTTGCAAATTTTATATGATATTTTCAAATTTATATTTTACTCAAAAATAAAAATATTATCGTTTTTTCAAAACCACATAAAATTGTATTATATCAACATGGATAAAAAATAAAACGAAACATTAAAATGGAAATGTGTCTTGATGCATTGCACGAGTACCTTTTTAGTATATTATAATATATCCAGTTCGAGTACCCGCGGGTACCTATAATAATTCAAAACCGAGAACCATCCATGAACTTTCAGTTTTCAGTTTCGGATCAAACAGTTCAGCTCGGTTTTTCAGGGTTTTTTTGAATACCCCTATTGCTAGCGTTGGGTTTATTGTGGTTTTTGTCCCTATGGTTTGTAATTCATTGCTATTTCCATCATAATTTATTGTTGTTTTGGTCCTTGTGGTTTACAATTCTTTATTGTTTTAGTCTTTGTACTTAAAGGTAGGAATTAATCTAGGGACGAAAGTAGCAATTAATTGCAAACAACAGGGACGAAAATTGCAATTGCTAAACCACATGGACAAAAATAGAAATTATTAATAAACCATAGGGACTAAAATTTAATTTACTCTATAACTAATTATCTATATCTATACTATATTATAAAACATTTGACAAAAACTTTTAAAAACCATTTTTATGCATGAAAGACTGTTTATTGATGCATATTACTAAAAATTTAAGATTACAAGTAATTTTGCGTAAGTACAACATATTAAAGCTCCGTTTTTAAATTTATGTAACTAACTGTAGATAAATATAATTAAATACAAGATAAATATCTATTTTAAATATAGAAAACCAAAAATATAATTAAGATAATTATTGAGTTCTAACAGAATGTTTAATTATTATCTTTATAAAAAAATTATATTATTAAATCAAAAATAAATTACTTTGTTATTAAATCTAAATTAAATAATAATAAAATTTTGAATTAAAGAAGTTACACCAAAAAAACGAGAACTATTAAATAGTTAATTTGATACTAATATCGATTTTTTTTTTCAATTTTTTATGCTGTCTTCAAATTTATATTTCATTCAAAAATAAAAACATTATCGCTTTCTCAAAACCACATAAAATCGTATTATATCGATAAAGACAAAGAATAAAAATTAAACATTAAAATGGGGTTTATTTTCGTTGGATTGCGCGAGTATTCTTCTAGTCTATACTATATTATAAAAAGCATTTGACAAAAACTCTTAAAAACCACTTTTTATGCGTAAAGTACTGTTTATTAATGCATATTACTTAAAACTCAAGATTACAAGTAGATTGTGCGTAAGTACAACTTATTAAAGCTCCATATCTGAATTCGTGTAACTAACTGTAGATAAACATAATCAAATACAGGATAAACATCTCATTTTAAATATAAAAAATCTAAAATATAACTAGGATAATCATTGAGTTTTAACAGAATACTTAATTATTATCTTTATAAAATGGTATATTATTAAACCAAAAATAAATTATTTCGTTATTAAACTTAAATTAAATTATAATAAAAAAATAAAGAAATTACATAAAAAATAAGAACTTTTAAATAGTTGATTTGATATTAACATTGATATATTTTTTTTCAAATTTTTATGATATTTTCAAATTTATATTTTATTCAAAAATAAAATTAGTAWTGCTTTCTTAAAAACACATAAAACCGTATTATAACATCGAAAGAGATAAATAATAAAATAAAACATTAAAATCGAGATGTGTCTCGCGGTATTGCACAAGTACTTTTCTAGTATATTATAATATATCCAGTTCGAGTACCCGCGGGTACCTATTATAATTCAAAACCGAGAACCATCCATGAACTTTCAGTTCTCAGTTTCGGATCAAACAGTTCAACTCGGTTGCTCGGGGTTTTTTTGAATACCCCTATTGCTAGCGTTCAGTTTATTCATGCAATGTTCTACCGATTTTAATGAATTGAAATTTCGTTTTTAGATCATATGATTATTCCCTTGTTAATTCTCAGGAAGGAGTGTCATTGCATGCTTTTCCTCACGCCCGATAACGACTTTGCCGGCAACGAGCAGGTAATAACACCATCTTACTTTCTATAACATAAAAAAGAATGCACAACAATTGCTTCAATTTTATACAACGACTCCTCTTGATTCAATACGACTATCTCTTAATAAACTAACTGATAAACTAGTTTTTAGCTCATAAGCTAGTCATGTTTGGTAAAACTAGCAGATAGACTAAATGACAATGTAAAATGACCTAAAAGAAAATGTTGAAAATTCATTGCAAAACTTTTAAGGGGCGAAAACGGAAAAAAGTGGAAGAAAGCCCTATTTGAAGAACCCATTTAAAATAGTTTTTCAAAAAACTGGCTTATATGTCGGCTTATAACCAACCAAATGAGCATCGCTAAAAAAAATAGCTAGCTTATGGTTGTTAAACACGACCTGCATGCTAAAAAAGTGAACGTGTTTAACAAGATTATACTTTTTTCTTAACGCAAAGAAGATACGTTCCTATAGATCCCTGCAAAACATATCCAGCATGTGTAGTTTTTAGATAGGGTTCCACTTCGAACAAGGTTACATGTGATATTAGACTAAAAAACACATGTAATTCATATTTGGTCATAAGTAGAACACACATATTACAGGTAATTTTAGACTAAAAACCGTATGTAATTTGGGAGACACCCATGTACCGCTTTTACCTAATGTGAAATCATATGTGATTTTTAGTTTGAAATCAAATGTCATATAGCATTCATTGTCGTAGTTTTTACGTGTTATGTTGTGTTATCCCTTGTGATCTTTGGTATTTTGTTGATGCAGGCTATTTCCTTGGAAGAAATCAAAGAATTGACTGCCAACATGTAGCTGCCCCAATCTCTTTCCAAACCACAGTTCCTTACATTTATATATGTATCTTAAATGATTATTATATCATATCACCAATTTGGTTGTATTTAATCACTAATATTTAACTTCCCTTCCATCAAAAAACCAACAAAACAAAAACCCTAAACAAATAAATTTCCATACGTTTTTGACATAACTGTAAACAATCTCAATAAGCTTTGACAGATGTAGACCGCTTAGAAGCTGATGTCGCACCATTGTTCTTCTTCGTACAATCTTGACCGTTTCTTGAACCCAAAGCAACCAGAAAAGGCCGTGCACCGCCGCCAACACGACCAGCGGCAGCCGCCTTCGGCAGGTGGTTGTTTTTGCAGGCATGATCGGATTGGAACCGGTGCTTCAAGCAGAACTTGATCTGGCACGATTTGCAACTACTGGTGTTYGAAAAGGTAAGAATCTCCTTGCACCTTCTAACACCACAAGTCGGTTTCTKCTTCTTCTTCGGATCACAATCTCCAGATTTCTGATGCTTTTTTAAAATCAAATTCATCTCATCTTCTCCACCTTTGCTGTTCCGTGGAATCTCGATTGAAGTCGAACATGTTTCACAGACTAAAACTTTCCTGCTATTGTGATCGGAGTTTGAACAGTCGTGAGATTTGTACGATCGATGTTCAAGACAAAAAACCTGAAAAGAAAAGCGAAATCAATCGAGATTCAATGAACAGAAGAGGAAAATCTGTTGACGGTTTGATGAAAATTTTACCTTTTGACAACCGTCGCATTTGAATGGAAGAAAATCGAGTTGAAGGCAATCAAAAAACTGGCAGTGCTTGCCTAAATCAGGAAAAGCTTCTGTTCCTCCTTCCATGGCGGACTCTATTGATCTTTAAGATTGGGGAGGGGAAGAATTTAGAGTTTGAAGGAATCAAAGTAGAGAGTTATGGTTTTGAATGGTTTATTCGCGGATTTTGGGGGAGAATGAGTTTATATAGCTTTGGTTTTGGCTTGGGGCGTAATCCACGAACGATGGTTACGTCACGTGTTCTCAGAAGCTTGTAGGTTCTTATTTTTGTGTATGGATAAAGAGCGTGGCCGGGTGGCACCCACACGCTGTGGGCTCTTTTTGGGGCTTTGGATTTAATCTAATGGTCTGGGCCTTTTTAGTTATTTTGCCCTTAGTCATGCCAAGCCAACTGCTAAGTGGAGGTAGCCAAAACCGGTCCCGGGCCAGGCCTTGTTTTTTGACGAAAACAGTAACCGGTTCTTAACCAGCGGTCTTAAACCGGTCCCAACCGGTGTTGAAATTCCATAAAAAGTATAATAACCGGTCTTGGACCTTTGTGGATGGATGGGCCCAATTTGAACATCTTTAGTTTGCACTTTGCATTAAAGGTGAAAAAATTTGATGGTTTTATTTTTTATTTTTGGATACTTTTTCACATGGGTCTTTCTTTTGGTACGTGAGTTAGGGATAAAACTCATTGTCTTATGTTTGGTGCGATATGGAACAGGAAAAGAACTCATTATCCCATATTTGGTGTGACATGGGGATAAGGACAAAAATGTTTTTTTCTTGTTGGAAGAAAATGGGACAAGAATGAGACATAAATTAAAATATTATTAATTAACCGTTGTTTGAGATATAACCTTAATATGATATTTGTTTGAGTGGTCATGCTAGTCATGACCACCGCCACCATCAGTAGCCACCGCCAGCCACCTCCACCACCTCCTCTTCCACTACAATAACACCCTTCACCACCTCCACAACCACAGTCGACCAGTGACTACCACCGTCCATCGCCATCTCCACAACCTCTGTTGGCCATCAACCACCACCATCTATCGCCACCTTCACAACCACCGTCGGTCATCGACCACAACCACCTGACGATAAAACTTGTGCTTTTGAGGATTGTCCTTAGAGGTCATCAGTTTGAGTCTTGCAAGGCTATCGAGAATTTTCCTAGACTTTCTCTAGGTCCCCTGGGATTAGCGAGGTAAATCAAGTTGGTCCGGACATCCACGATTAAAGAAAAAGATATTACAACTATGATATCACTGTTATGTGAGATAATGATGCATTCCAATGCTTCTCTCATTTTATAAAAGGTTTTTAAGGTTTTATATGTTTGCTTTTTACTCTTTTTGTTGTGAAAACGACACACCATAGATCTTACTATAGAGAATGCCCTCCTTATATAGGTTGATGTTTGAAAGTAAACGAAAATTAAAATATACTAAAATAATTGGCTCGGTTGACTTAGGGGTAAAGTCGTTTTGTCCAAATACATAAAAGATTCAAGTTCGAATCTCACAAGATGCACACTTGAATCCCTCTACTTGTCTTGGTTGTTGAGTCAACTCCCGAAATGTCTGCTCAATTCTCACATATTGCCCCGGGGCAATAGTTTTTTAATCCTTGATACGAAAGCGTATCGGATTTTTACAATAGATGGATCCAATTTGACCCAGACCCAGATCCCAAACACATGATATTTGATGTTTTGTCGACTGAAAAATCTCTTACAATATTTCCAACATATATGCTGTATTTTTCTCTCTCTTCTTCTAAATTTGGATATTTGTCTATTCTTTGTTGGTTTTTCTTTTTCTAGTTTCAGTAGGAGTTTAGCATAACTGTCAAAACAAAATTTTATAAAAAAAATTGTAAAAACAAAAACAATGATAGGATAGAATGATTGTCCCAAGAAGACGTGTTTTAGTGACTTTTAGCAAACAAAAAAGGAAAAGTAGTCCAATTGTAAAGACAAGGAATAATACCCCTTTCTTTTCTATAAAGTTCTCAAAGCATAATCCTTCCCATTTTCGTTTTCCTTTTTCTACTTCTTTAATAACCATACCCCATCATCATATTTATGTCCAATCCCATTTTGCCAAATGGAAACCATTTTCTACTTTTTTTTTTATTTAATTAAAATCTTATTTAAGGTTATATACATGAATATCTTATGATGATTTCAGATAATCGACTATAAATCTATAATGAAATACTAGAAGGGTGCTTGTACAATGTATATCTTGATTTTAATGTTTCGTTTTATTCCGTCTCTATAGATGTTATAATACGGTTTTTATGTGGTTCTGAGAAAGGGATAATGTTTTTATTTTTGAATAAAGTATAAATATTAAGATATTATAGAATTTTGAAGATAAATATATCAATATTTGTATCAAATTAACTATTTTGAAAATTCTTTTTTTTTGTGTAATTTCTTTAATTCAATTTTTTTTTTATAATTTAGATGATAATGAAGTAATTTATTTTTGATTTTCATAATATAATTTTTTATAAGGATGATAATTAAGTATTATGTTAGAATTCAATGATTATTCTAATTATATTTTAAATGAAATGTTTATTTTGTATTTGATTATGTTGATCTGCAGTTAGTTACACGAATTCAAAGATGAAGCTTTAATAAGTTGTACTTACGCATAATTTATTTGTAATCTTGAAATTTAAGTAATATGCATTAATAAATAGTACTTCATGCATAGATTATGGTTTTTAATAATTTTTGTCAAATACTTTATAATATAGTATAGATAATCAATAATTGATCTAGGATTTTTGCTAAACGGGTACATATAGAATCACGCTCGAGGCTTAATAGGTCCACCTCCCCTGCCTCTAGGCACCTTAGAATAGATTTGATTGGAAGGAGGGTGAGGAACGACGACAGTGGTTTGACCGTTGGGATCCCAATCAACCTGTATCAACGGAAAATGGAACTATCGTATCACGGGTGACTCCCTTTATCGAGATGGGAGGAATTGCTTAAATACAAAATAGAACCAGAACATCTATGAATGAAAGACTAAACTTACATGAAAATGGTTCTATACTAATTTGCTTTAAACATATATTTTATTTACAAAAAGAATGGACAGAAGACTACCACAACTATGAGGTTCTCACCAAATAGTCTTTGTCCTAGCGGTATTGTAGTCCTTAGCCTCCTAGGAGGTCATGGGTTCAAACTTCACCAAAGGTGAAGAGAGTGTGTGAGTTTATTTGTTGCATTTGTCATATATAGTTATTATATATTAAAAAAAAACTATTAGTTCCTCCTTAGTTCAATGACATCAAATTTTGTAGTATATTATAATACTCACTCAATCATAACCATTATATACTAACTGAAAACCAATCCACATACCTTAATGTTACAAAACCATATCAATACGTTTTAATATGTAAAAAAACCCTGTTCTTTATTCTTGCTCTTTTCTATTCCCGTCTTTTTGTGACCAACAACTAAGGAAACCATTAGTACAATTGATATGATCATGACAATCTAAACACATAATTAACAAACCATTACATATATATATATATATATATATATATATATTGGGATTTAGGAATAGTGATCTTTTTAGATGTTGATTTTGGGCTTTTGCAAAAAGAAGAGAGTGTATGAACAGGAAAAAGGTACCAAATAAAAACCAATCATAAAAATACAAAACAATTTGAAGTGGATGCCAGGAGACATGTTACATAATCAAAAGGGTCCCAATTTAGTCCCTAATTTCAAAGATCTTTGTCTTTTTGGTTTCATTCTTGGCACAAGACTTTGGAAATGTAGGCCATTTCTCCCAAATGTCAACATTACTATCTTTATATCACCATAACAACATTTACCCTTTTTATTTTTGCAAATTATTCCGAGTCGAAAAGTTCTGAATCTGAAGTTATTTGTATCTGTATCAATCTGTATATATATATATATATAAGGTTTGTATATGTATGTATTTGTGGGTAAGAATTTTGGTGTTATGTGTTCGTTTTGAGTAGTAGAAAGATATAGATGGATTAGAAACGTGGTTAACGTGGGTGTTAGCATGAGTTACTCATGGGTGGTATGTGTAGATACTCAGGGGTATTAATGTAATTTTCACTTGATTATTAATATGTTATTTTTGGTTCACGGGTGTGTTTAAAAAGATCAAATCTTTTTTAATCTTGAAAAACAACTTTAAAGTCGTGTGTGTTGAATAACATGATCTTTAAATGGTGGACATGGGATATTAAGTAAATTGGTAAACAAGAACGTTTCTAGAAGCACATATGAAACCAAAAACCGTAGGACCGTGGATAGTAACCAAACACCAGACTAACTCTTGGCAGCTTGATAATTCATGATATGGTCTTTCAACGAATAAATTTCTTAACCAAAGGTGCAAGATTACCCACTGCTACGCTCAAAACTCAGATCACAACCGTCTTACTCCTTCGACCTTAGTGTAAGAATAAACCAAAAAGAGGGTTTCTTGACATCCTACGTTTTAAGCAACCGTTGCATTCTACTCTTTTCATCTTACAGTTTCACGATTCTTGTCGTATCTAACCATTTTCGATGCATTTTCACCGATCTTGACCAAAGCAAGATTCTTGGTGTTTCCAAGTCCAATAAAGAAAGTGTATTCGTGACGACCCATATCTTTTTAACACATTGTTATAGATTAAAAAACATAAATTTCTACTAATAATAGTCTTTAATAACCAATTATTATGTTTAGGAAATAATAATATACATAAGAGACAACTTTGAGGGGTAAGCTAAGGTCTAATATTAAAGAAAATCCAATGATTAAAACCATACTCATTGGTGTACATCAAAATTCTTAGCAACCAAGCAAAGGGTACATAATGGTACATACATACATACATCCATAAAACATACATACATGCATCCATGTTTTTGCTTTTTTTTTAAAGTTTGACCAAGTTTTGAGTCTCCATGCCAAAGTTGTCAACTCTTCCCCCTTTGGAAATATATAAATAGAAACAAAAAACATGCATTGAAAATTTGATATTCTTTTAGGTTTCATCATTTGGGATTCCATTGACATAACTTTGAATTTATTGGTTTGTATGTAAATTGTAAGATATTGAAGATTTTTTAATACTGGTTTGATTTTCGACATAATTTTGAATTTTATGTCTGAGCTGATAATTAATG